GGAAAGAGAGAATAGCTAAGAGCAAAATTCATTATTACCAAAAACTTTTGGTGCCCCTTATATCTGCCTGTTCCCTTTTGAAAAGTATTCTGTAGCTGGAATTTTAAATTTAGCATCCCCCTTCCCTCCCATATGTAAGTGCTTCTAAACAATGCTTTTATTGCAGTGTGTGGTGATATTCATGGCCAGTTCTTCGATCTAATGAAGCTGTTTGAAGTGGGAGGATCACCTGCTAACACAAGATACCTCTTCCTTGGTGACTATGTAGACAGAGGTTATTTTAGTATAGAGGTAACTGTATATATTAATTTGTTCTGTCCTAAAACTTTTGTAAGAAAACATTTATCTTGTAAAATATTGGGTTCCCTCTGACACTTGAATGCGTGTTCTTCCTTGCTATTCCTCATCCCATTCCAAAGAGCAGTTGACATGGCGATATTGACCAGTCTTTTCCTTTGACATTTGAAACTGCCAGTCCTACTAATTTTTCTCACCTTTCTTAGCCACCCTTCTAGAGGTTCAGTTGCATTGTGTCTGGAATGTCTATAGTCCATGCTGCTCATCATATATAACAAAGGCACTGTACCCTGTCAGTTTTGAACTTTTCTCAAGCTTCATTGCCACAGGAGTTTGAAAATGTTGGAGGACTGGTGACATCTATAAAGTCCTTTCTAAGCCAGTTTGCTTTATGGTGATGCTAGATGACTTTGTATAAATAAAAATAATTTTACTTAACTGAAGGAATTTTTTCTTTTTTAAATATGACCTTTCTGAAAGGCTGTTTTGCATGGTTTCCCAGCCATTGCTGTCAGCTAACATTGATTTGAGGGCTTTTGAATGAGACTGAAATTCATATAGATGAATTTTAATTTTCAGCATTTTATAAAGCATTTTCATTTCCAAATATATTTGTGTACTGCTACAGTCAATTGGGATTGGTGTTATCATATACAAGTTAGCTGTTACATGCAATCAGCCTGGAAAGCACAGTGTTTGAACTGTAGGGAAGATGTAGATAGGGTTTTTTAATTAAATGAGATGGGTTTTCAGAGCCAGGGTATTTGGGTGACGATTCCCTGTCAGATTACAAATTTTAACATGGAGAAAAATTTAAGTTTATAACTTGGATTTCCCTTTAAATTTTAACATTCATAGTTTAAATAAATTGACATAATTATTAAAATATGAAGTGTCTTGGTAAATTGTAGATGTATGTTGGCATAGCATTTTAAGGACATATGCTAGAGCATGATGCATGTCATTTTTTGTGTATTAAAATAGTGATGTTTTAGTAATGTATGCATATATGTACCATTCAAGTATGTGTTTGCACAGTGCTGTTTTTTGGTTGTTATGGATGGCAGTCAAGCAAAAGATACTATAGTGATGAATGCCTTAGTAACCTGCATATAAAGAATAATTAAAATAAAAGATATTCCTCACACCATTCCTTCAGTTTTGGTGACCTGTTTAATTATAGAAAAACTTCTGCTTATAACACGAACTCTGTGTGTGATCAGTGTGCATTCGTGTAGTGCATACAGAAACAACCTGTTTTGTTTTTTTTTTCCAACTTTTTGAACCATGAGAAGTTTTGGAGCAGGAACTGTTTAATAAAGTCAGACTCGTTTTTCCCCATGGGCACTTTTCTGGATTTTCTTCTTAGTGTATTCTTCAGATGACTACTCAGTAGTTCATAGAAAGACTTGCCTTTTCCCATAGAGTGATTTACCTGCTCCAGTGCTGCTCAGAGTGGCTACTGATGTCACCAGCACAGTGCATGACGGGGTATCTGGGTGGAGTAGGATTGCTGCAAGTGCATGGAGGGTTGTGCTTTGTGGACCTGTTCAAAGGAAAGAAAAGTATATTAAAATCACCATTTTCCACCCCCTGAAATTCCCGCTATAGTCTTTGGTCATCTAACAGCTTTTAAAAGCTTGAGATGTATTTCTCTTGTTTTTGTTTCTCATCACTTTTTAATCTCTTAGTTGATTGTGTCTGTAAATTTTGGTAGACTTAAACAGTCCCTGCTGGAAAAATGTTTGGTCTTTATTTTTATTTTCTGTTAAAGGCCTGTAGATTATTTTTAATCTTTGCTCTGCTTTCTTTTTCCTCAGACTTGCTTTTGAATGCAATGTATTCCTTTTGTTGTCTAAATCTATCCCAACCATACAGTTGGTCCAATAAAAGATATCACCCACAAAAATCCTTGCCTCTTGCATATTCTTAACCCATTCATTTTGAAGCAAGTTTATTTTAATAACACTTCCTGCTAGTAAAATAAAATTTTAGCGTTTAGCTGGAGCATCCAGAGATTGCCAAGTTGTCTGTTCCATTGATGCAGGAGTCTGAAGGAAAAACCACTTTATAGGGAATGGTCTGATGTTCTGACATTTAACGTGAAGAGATATCCTATTGAGACTAAAAGTCCCCACATTGAATGTGGACAAGCTGCTTACATCCAGATTAAGGTTTTTGTTGTGGGACCTATAAATTCTCTTTACTTCCATATTGAAAGTAATGTGACACAGATAACTTTGTGGCTCTGACTTTTGGCCATTCCTCCCTCACTGTAAAACAGAACTCTGTCAATACAGAAAAGCTACTGATACAATTGTGTGTTATTAACATAATGGTTTTATTCTTGCACTGGTTGCATACTGTTATGGGAAATTGGGTGTTGTTCCTAGATGAAGCAACCTTTTTAAAAAAAAAAAAAAAAAAAAAGGAAAATTCCAGGGCATTCTTTAAACAATTCCTATGTGTAATATAAATGACTAAGGTCTCTGACAGGAGTTAAAACAATGACGAGATGGGGATTGGAAAAATTCTATACCTGATCCCAAACTTTGTGCTTCCTGCCATGCCAGACATTAATGGCAGAAGGCACAATGTTTGGGGTGGGGCATAAAATTCCTCTGATGCTAGTTGCACCACTGCTGAGTTGCAGCTAATTGAGTCTTAAAGATCAGGCAGGGGGCATCACTGTCCTGGACCCAGGGCTGCCACCATCCCAAGCAGGTGTGAGACCTAGTGCTGTTGGGCTGACAATCAGCTTACTGTCAGTCCAGCCCCAGGACAACTCAGTTGCATGTGTGGTGTAGATGTCCAGGGGCACTGGATCCATGGGATCGAGGAGCCTCTTTTTTACCCTGGGGTCCCAGTGCACTAGGACATCTGTGCACCCACAAACTGTGGGTGCAGCCTAGTTCCCTGGAACCCAGTATTTTAAAGTGCCTTACCCTGCAGCTGCTGCAGGAGTTTCAGGGCAAGGTAGGAAAGTGTACTGGGCTTGGAGAGGTTGCCAGGTTCCTGGCAGTCAGCTCCTTGGCTCCCGCTGCTAGAGAACCTTGCTACCTACTATACCAGCAGCTGATTTTTGGTATTAGGACCAGGGCTGTCCAGGTCCTGATGCTGACCATACCCCCATGCCAATACAGCAGTCAGCTGATTGTCAGCATCAGCATAGGGGTGCTGCATGTTCAATTTATCGTGTCATACAAATAAGCTGCAAAGATGCTTCACATTTTGTGAACCATCTTTGGGGTTTGTACACCTCTTTATGGTGCCATAAATTGGCTGAGTGTTTAGTGTTGTTACTATTTATGGTGTGATTAACATGTTAATCGCGCCATAACTGTAACATGTGCCGAGGAACTAAAGGATGAGAATGAAGCTACCATTTTGCCAGTATCTTCTATTACAAACTTGTTTGTGCCTTTGGCTGTTCACTGTGAACAGTACATACACATTTTCTGTAAAAATGTACTTGGCAAGCAGCCTATACTTCTTAAATGTGTAAAAGTCTCCAGCTTCTCTTATGCATTTGGCTCTGGTTCTCTATTCCTTTATCTCAACCTGTAAGCAGACTGGGCTGTCTGCTGTTAAGTAGTTGATAGTAAAGTGTTAGTGTTTGAAAAAATCTCAGAACCAGCCTATTTACAGAAATATTGAGATATCCAGTTTTTCTGAATACCTGCCTAAGGTTCAGTTGGATATGCATATTTTTCTTGTTAATGATAGTTTGTTATTTGAGATTAGTTAAACTAATTATAGGACTTTTTCTTAAAGTTGATTTTATTGTATTTAATAGTAAATATTCTGTTTCTTTAAAAGAAAATGAAGTTTTTTATTGTGTATATATAAGTTTGTTCCCTTAAAAGATTTTCTAAAATCAAGAAAATTGAGTGAATGATAAATTTAGCTTTCTTGTTCTTAAAAAAAAATGTAATGAAAAATAGTCACTGAATCACTTTAGTATAGTAGTGTGAAACTCCTTTTTTTCTGTGCCCATTCTGAAGTGTGGATTAGAACAAGATTCAAAATGTAAGCATTAGATTTTTTGGCATTGAAGAGCCTCAGGTAGTAATGGACCCTAAATTTCTTTCTTGAGGTTCAGGAGAATGTCTAGGGTTAGTTACGGTGATTATAGTGGTAATGAAATGAAGAACATTGCTGTGGCTTCTTCATAGGCTTTGTTTGATCTCTAATAACCGTTAACTTTCAAGCTTTGTTGAACAGCTAATGCTTTACAAAACTAAATAATTGCCATATATTATCTGCATATCTGCTTTAAACATGAGCCATTTTGTATTGCTGCTTTATTTTTTACAGAAGTCTTCCTTTCTCTGCCAAATAATCTCTAGAATCTATACTGTGAAATCTGATTATATGAGTAACAGTTGTTTCTGCAGATAAAAAGACGGCATCTTTTTATTAGAGAACATGGACTGAATTAAGTGAAATGATTTTTGCAGCAGTCTTTAGTTGGTTTTAAGAGAGTTAAAAAATTGCTTGCAAAATTCAGATACAAAATTTGTTGAATTAGGAAAGCGGTGTTATCAAATGACCATTAGTATCAGTATGTGAAATTGGGTGTCTTGAGAGGCAGGTAGACTTATGTTCGAAGCTACAGTTAATGCTGTTTTATGTGCATAAGGAGGCACTGTGTTCATTGTTAGTAGCCATTTTATTTCTTAAAAAATTGTGTGTACTTCATTGAACACCTTTGGTTTTTCAACAGTGTGTGCTGTACTTATGGGTTCTGAAGATTTTGTACCCAAACACATTATATCTTTTGAGAGGCAATCATGAATGCAGACACCTCACAGAATATTTTACCTTTAAGCAAGAATGTAAGTACTGTTTAGGAATATAGTATTTGTTTTATTGTTGCTCTTTGCTACTCTCCATTGCAGAAATAATTATGTTTAACAGTTTTATTAAGATCCTTCATGCATAGCTATACTAGTTTCATTAGATATGCATACAGTTGTAAATATAGTGGAAAGTTAAGTGCGTGCAGTCCTGGTCCTTATAAAATACATTTTAGCCTATGTTTATACATTCATACATCCTCTACAATTTCCTTTGGATTTTAATGTCAAGTTTTAAACAGTTATCGTTAAAACATTTAAGTCTTGCTAGCATATCTGTCTCTCTTAGGGGTATTAAATGATCATGCCCTAACAATTACAGGCAAGCTGGCAGAAGCCCTATTTTAGACTGTTTTTGCTCTTGCTAGTATAGCTTATACCAGGGATTGGCAACCCATGGCCTTACAGGCTGTATCTGCCCACAGAGAGATCTGATCCAGCCCATGGAGATCTGACCCATCACAGGGGATTGGTGACACACAGCTACACAATACTTGCCATCTCCTGTGCAACACTCCCCTCTATTGTGTGCTTCCCCTTATTTCAAAGGGGTTGGGTGGTAGTTGAGGGGTGATAGAGGCTTCCAGCATTTAGCCACAGCTGGGTTGCAAGCTCCAGCTGGTGTCAGCAAAAGGCTGCTGACCTGTGGCTTTTCTCATTTGAGGAACTGGTTTCAGCTATACCAGCAAAAAAAATTTCTATTGCTGGTATAAGCTACTCCTATGCTAGGTAGAAAGTTGCAGGTATACCTCTGATGATGAAGCTGTCAAGGCAAACCATATTAAGTGTAGTCAAAACCCTGGAGGAAAATTAGTGTACACATCCTTGATCTTATACTGTCATTAAAAGCTTCTCAAGGTCATCACTAATGCTTAATTAATCTTTATAATCAAGTATATTTCTTGCTTTTAGATTTTTCTTTTCTGATTTCATTTAAAACAAAATCTCTATAACCTTTTTCCATACTTGGGGTTGTGAAGGGATTGGGAAATATAGGTTTACATTTTTGTAAAGAAATTTATCTTGGAAAAGGTTGCTATGTTTTGATTTTTAATTTAAGCATAAGAAATTAACATTTCCTTTTTTTTTCTTCTTTTTTTGGTGCTCACCGCATGAGAACTTTCTAGAATTAGAAGCCAATAGAATAGTTTCTTATGTTGATATAATTGTAATATTCTGTTCTTTCTTCTCTATAGGTAAAATAAAATATTCAGAAAGAGTCTATGATGCTTGTATGGAAGCTTTTGATTGCCTCCCTCTTGCTGCACTTTTAAATCAACAGTTTCTCTGTGTTCATGGTGGACTTTCACCAGAAATAAACACACTAGATGACATTAGGAGAGTAAGTATTTCTGTATATTTCTAAAAGAGCAGAAGGGAAGGGATTTTTGTGACTGCTTTAAAAATGTCACTTTTGTGAAACTGTCAGCATATTAGTTTCTAGACTTAACTATCTATTTTTAGCATGAAACAGGAATCAGAAACATGGATTTAACTAGAGTGATTTTAATTAATACTAATACCTGTCTGACGGACTGTTTTTCATTAGTACATCTCAAAGCCCTTAAGAAGGGAAATTGGTATCATTATACCTGTTTTTAACAAATGGGGAAAATAAGGCACAAAGAAAGGGAAGTGATTTGCTAATGTTCACTAGCTATGTCACTGGAAGGAACAGGAACAGAACCAGTGATTCCTAAATCTCAGTCTTCTAATCCCCAGTTTGTTCCCAATGTTACTGATTAGTAGGGATCTGGGTTTTCTGTTTCCCACAGAAAAACAGAAAACCACATATTTCCCTATTTTATCAGAGAAACAATGGATTTTACCCTTTAGCAGAGAAATCTGCGGATTTCCCAGTTTTGGAAAGAGCTCTGCAGGTGGGCAGAGTTTCAGCCTGCAAGAGCTGATTGCAAAAAGGGCAGGAAACTCCCAGCCCTGCCTCTTCCCTTCTGGAGCCTACTGTGAGGTAAGTGGGGCTTGTAGGGGGCTGAGGGGGTTGTGGGTCAAGGCTGGGGGGGTGGGCACTGGCAGGGCTGGGAGGGAAGCTGGCTGGGGGCTGAGGGAATAGGGAGGTGTTAAGGAAAGACATGGAGTGCCTGCTCACCCAGCGGCACGTGGACTGCGAGCGGTGCGGTATTGGACTGAGTGGGCTCCATGCTTCCATGTGAGGCTTCCTTGAAGGGCCAATAGGGTGCCAACCAGGTGGGCACTCCTGCGGAAAGCTGACTGAGGGAGCCCGGGAGGTGCTGATAGCTCGCCGCTATGGGTTCACGTGCCACAAGCCAGGCAGGCACTCCATGTGCAGCTCTTCCCAATGCCTCCCCACTCCCTCAGCCCCCAGCCAGCTTCCTGCAGGAAT